GAGAGAGAGATAGGTCTGTGACGGCGAGACGAAGTGTTGAGTTGGTTGTCCCTATTGCTGGACTGGAGGCTACCGTAGTCGATGCTGCAGCTGTAGCCGTTGCTGCGGATGCGGCTGCGGCTGAAGCTAAAGCAACCGGGGACCATGCTGTTGGCGGCCCAGTGGCCAATGGAACGAACTGATGAGTGGCGGAAGGAGTCAGGGAGCTCAAGGGGATTGGCAGTCCCGTTGATGGCAAAGTTAGTAGAGGCATCGGCAGAGAAAGGGAGGTCATGGGGCGCAGGTGGAAAATATTTTCAGCATGTGAGTTTTCTTCCGTTCTCGGCTGGCAGGCAGGTGACTGTCGAAGGAAGGCAACTTGTTGGGCAGGTGGGAAAAGAGGGCCATTTCCCGTATGTCCTGCTACGGACATTACGTTCAGGCTGGAAGTTTCAGTATTACTATTAACTTTACTGATTGCACCAATACTAACAGTAGCTGGGTAGGCAGGTAATGAAGATAGCGTCACCTGCGCGGCAGTCTGGAGAAGATCGTCTCGGAGACCAAGTTGTTTACTCAGTATTTCAAGGCTGGATCGAGTCACAGCAGATGACTCGGTCAGTCGCGACTCGCCGACCGGTCTGTCAAGCATGGACGAAGGAAGGCTGGGTAACAAACTTGAGGGAAATGAAAGACTGCTCGTACTGGTGGAATTTAGAAAGGCGGAAAGTCCAAGTTCACTAGAGGGGACATCGGTTGCCCTACACTCGGGCTCATCTCCTGCGTAAGGCCAGGCTGATGAAACCAAGGGAGAGAAGAGGCTGGTTGATAGATTCTGCATGAGTTCAATGATCGGAAGTGTTTATGGATATGTGAGCATAGACACTTTTTCGTCTCCGGTTTTACTTGTCCGTCAAGCAGATCAGCCAAATATGGCTGCAAAATAGATCAGGCACAAAATACTTGCTGTATGGTTTTCAAAGCAGAAGGCCCGATATTGTTTAGTTGCATACCTCTATGAGAGCTTCAAAAGTGCCGTAACTAAAAAGCACATAGGGTAATGTATAAAGCATTAAACATGCTATTTTTAGCAAATGCGCTAAAGAATAGTATAGTTTTAAGCGTTCAGGTAAGTCAAGAATATACAAAAGGTCATATATGTATCTTGAAATTCCTGGAACACCGACTTTTCCTATCAATTGCACTACACTTGCAAATGGTTTACTTAGAAATATGGGTTTATCATATAATGTCTCTTGAACCGCCCTGCCTAAATGCAGTAGTAGGGTCCAAAATACTGAGTAAATCACCAAGAGCTCTAATAATTTCATGATTTGTTTTAAAAGATTAACGAAAATTGTTGCTCAGTTGACCATTTTCAAATACAATTACATAGTCAAAGGTGTGAAGACCAAGATGATGCGGCCTATTATATGGTCGTAGTCTCCTTTCGTTGTATAGAAATTGTTTGACCTTGTCTTGGCAACTTGGCTATATTGATAGGAAGACCTAGAGGAACACACATAGTTCGGAGTCCATTGTATGCATGATTTTTTTTCCAGATTCGGACCGTGGACTTGGTACATTCTCAGACGTTGCGCCTGCATCGTTAGTGAGCCTTGCAATTCTTAGCACCTTACAACAACTCGTAAGAGACAATAGAAGCCGATCCTTTGACCAAATGTGATCTAAACAGTTGTGGTATCTTTCCTTCTGCCCTAAGCTATTCACCATTCCTACATCCTCGTATCACCCCTTCACTATCACAATTTCTTAATTGCTTATTTCAATTTGGTATGGTGCGCCCTTTTGAGCGAATTTCATGAGAACTCTCCACAGTCCAAGCTGGCTTTCTCACCCCCTCACCCCCCTTCACTCTTGTGCTGGGAATGTTGATCTGAGTCTGCCATATTATTCCGCAATCCTCTTCCAATAGATCTTATCAGAGTCTCCATCCTGCCCAAAGGATCCGCCTCCAACCCTCATGGTTCAGGTATTTCACTCGACCCCTGCCAGCCTATCTGTAATACTCGAAGAGCTATTTCCCAAACTGTCTTAAACCTTTGATGGTAGATATAATCCCGCCTCGTTGAGTAGATCCATAAAAATCAGGATTCTCAAACTGGATAGGAGACTAACTTGAGGCTAAAGATATCGAATAATTTTCATTGTCAAGCCTTTGCTTCGTAAATCTCGTCTATAATCAAACATGTCAGTTGTTAGCCACGTTTCCGCCGCGTATATCCTGCTTCTATCTCTAATACCAGGTCTATGACATCCTATGTCCTAGCCTCGTGTATGCCAACCCACAAAGTTTGTGGTTCTACTTATTTTGATTAGATTCAATGTTGAACCACGACGTTCGTGGGCTGGCATCCAAGAGACTAGGGCATAGTAAGTCATAGAATTGGTATTACGAATAGAAACAGGATAGATACGGTGGGAGCTATAGCTAGTTGACTAAAAATAGACGTGCTTATGGATCACGTCGATGATCAAACACGTCTATTGTTAGCTAAAAAGCTCTAGTCTCCACCGCGTCTATCCTGCTTCTATCAATAATACAATGTCTATCACTTCCAGCTCACAAATATGGTGGTTCTAGTTGTTTTAATTAGGCTTACAGTAGAGGTCTCCGCTTGGCTACTGAATGATAAGTTCTGGTCTCATAGAAATTTTATTTCATAAAAGTAAAGAGGTTAATTTGACCCGCTAGACCAATTTTTGCTGATCATACTGTTACCTGGTCATTTCCAAGTTTGTAAAGGCAATTTGTAAAGTCGTCTCTGATTCTAATTTCATTAATTCTCCAGTTTATAAGATTTATTTCAATCATGATATCGATGGCTTCTCAAATCTTCCAATTTCTTGTATTTTCACCGAATGCAGACAGCCTCTCTGTCGATTTCCAGTCGATTGCAGATCCTGTCCATGCGATGCGTTCCATTATTTCGAATTTGTCCATATCTCCATTTATACGAATTCTTTGGTATCCCCTCAGTATTAGGCTGATTTTTATTCCAGTTCCACCAATATACTTTTGCTCACAACTGCTACATTTAATGCGCTAAACTTGCAAGAAAACGAGTTTGTCAATCTTCTCGTGTTGCGTTGGGAGACTGATTACGAATGTTGTCTTCTCCTTTGTTATCATCAACTTATTACAGTCTCTTAGTAACAGACGCAATTTTTACCTCAATTCCCAGGAGTGCAACTATACCCACTTTGGGTCGTCCTCCTCATTCCTGATCCTATTTTCATTAAAATCTAGGTGAAGTCTGCTCGTTATCTCCTCTACACTTCTTTCTATAATTTCTCTGGTTTTCCTGTTACTAAGGCAAATCCGAGTCAGTTTTTCCAACCCCTCGTGCCAGAACATATTCTCCGTTAGTCTCCAGCTTCATATGTTCAAATACCTCAGTATTGCGATCTTCACTCATTAGTTGTAATGAGACTGAACATTGAGGAGTATTCTTGCATGGGATTTCCTTCTGAATAGTCTCCTCTCGCGTATCCCGTCGGAGCGAATGATCTCAATATTCAAGAAATATAGTCGCTCATTCTGCTCCACATCCAGTGTAATTTCACTTCATTCAGAAATATGAGGAATGTATTCAAGTTTTCCTTACCGTGCCACAACAATGCAAAGCAGTCCTCCAGGCATCGCATAAGCACTCATGCAAGCAGTGGAGACTTCTCGAATTCTTTCTCCAATTCGTCCAGCTATACATTTGCCAAAATGGCAGAGAATGGGGATCCTATCAATAGTCCAAGTATGTGCTTATAGATACTTTTGTTAAATATAAACTAGGTGGTTCTTACTGTCAGGTTAACCAGTCATATTAACGACTCATTTAGTTCCGTTTCGCCTCCAGAATATCCTATTCTCGCTCCAATATCTCCCGAATGACGCTAACCGTCTTTTCGTTTGCGATCCTTATATGCATGGATTATATATCAAGTCTTACTAACAGTTCTGTTCCCACAAGCCCAATGTTTCAGATCCTATGAGAAAATTCATATTAATTCTTCACGAGATTCGAGATTCCATCACTTACTTTCCCGAGCTTAAAACAAATGAATTTCGCTAGCTTATGTGTTGCTCCATGCATATTGCTGACTCTCACTTGTACTGGTTTTACTTCCTTGTGTATCTTCGCTATTCCGTAGGCTGTCGATGATCTTGCCTCATTTTTTATTAAAGTCTTTCTCCTCCATCTGTCGATTTTCCCTTTGTTATGCATTTCCCATAGCATATCGTTCATTGTCCCGTTGATCTTCACGATTAGATCCTTCCTTATTATTTGATTAGTATTCGGGTCGCTTAGGCTACTTCCCACTTTCTCCGTCTACCTTCATGTCTACCTGCTCCTTACCACCGTCGCTCCTCCCTTATCCGCCTGAAGTATTACTTGGTCATTCTTTTGTAAGTTTTGTGTATCTTAGTAATTCCGCTACTGTGTTTTTGCTCTTGATTTGCTGAGATTATTGGGATTATTTTTATTCTCATCTCCCGTTTTGTCTCTTCTGGATATTCTTCCGATATATTAAACAATATTGCCGAATTGCCAACCAGAGATTAAGAAATTATTATACAACTAAAGAAGACCGCTACTATTCATCTGGCTACACTATCTTGTCTTTATAGCTTCGTTTTAAATGCCATTCGTTTTAGCTAAAATATAAGTCATCTACTGCAATTTCACTTACGTATATTAGAGTCCAAATGTATCAGTGCACTAAAATTAATTATGATTACTTCATAATGAATAAAAAAACACTGTTTATTTCTCCGTTCTTGCTAAATTCTATACATTAAATAATTTTCCACTAATATATATGTTACTTAATAAAAACTGAATTCGGACCTTGAATTTGGCATAATCCTTAACGTTGTATTGTCATCATATTCTGCATCATCAATGAACCTAGTCATTTTTAGCACCATACTATAATTCGTTAAAGATATAAGATTTATCGATCCTTTGCCCAACTGTCTACTAATAAGTTGTCTTCTCTCCTTCTCTCCTGATGTGTTCACCTGTTTTATACCCTCGTATCATGCCTTCCCAATCACAATTTCTTACTTGTTTATCTAAACCTATTTGAACCTTTTCACGCTCACCTTTGTTTCCCACATCTCCCCATTCTGCTTGAAGTGTTGAATCAAGGCTGAATTTTAGTCCTACCAGTTCTATCAGAATTTCCTTCTTGCCACGTGGGATCGGTCTTTTATCTGCCTGATTCAGTTATTTCTCTATATCGCTGCCACCATATCAATGCTACTCGAGGCATCATGTTCTGCAATCTGCCTCAAACCTCGGATATATCGTAACAACCGACCTCACTGAGTAAGCTCTTAAAGTACGGATTCTCAAGTAGCATTGAGACCCAACTCGACGCTGCAGATTTCCTTAGCACTGTGTGGCATGTACACCGGGTAAATCTCATGGTCAACCCTGTAATTAATGGGCCATCCCTATGATCGAACGTACTTACTAATGGTTATCTATCGATGTTCTCCACCGCATCCCTCCCTCTTCTTTTCATAATGCCAAGTCTATGACTTTTTTATTCCATAGTGTCTTGTGTGCCGACTCTGGAAATTATCATGCATACTATGGACTCCGCACAAGATGCGTTAATGTAGGTCTTCCTGCCAATACGAACAAGCTGCAAAAACAGGGCCAAACAACTTCTAAAATAGTTCTTATTATTTATATAAGTAGTTTTCCAGACTCTCAGTAGTTGTTGTGTAAAAGCTTATTCACTGTAAGTCACTTAGGGGGATTTAAGGATTGATAGTTGAGTTTTCCCAAAATGCTATGGGGAGGCCTCAAA